ATGGGGAGGATTCCATACTTTTTCCCATGGAATCCATACTCTATTCTATATGTTCTATACCATTTTAAGGGTGGAATTCATATGGACTCCATATGGATGCCATAAGGATTCCACATGGAATCCACATGGAATGACTTTATGAAATAATTCTAAGTACACATCATGTAATCATGGTTTCTAGATTCATAAGTCATAGCTGAGCAGGAAAAATTGAAATGTATTAAATGGACTACACAATTTATGTTTACTATTCTCAATATTTAAGGGAGGGGGGAAGACAGGGGGAAGTGATGGAGGGGGAGGATGTAGTAGAGTGAGGGGGGAGGGGGAAGGAGTGATGGAGGAGAGAGGGAGTGGTGAAGGGAGGGAGTGGTGAAGGGAGGGAGTGGTGAAGGGAGAGGTGGGAATGAATGGGGGGGAGAGCAATGGGAGGGGGAGCAATGGAGGGAGGGGAAGAAATGGGAGGGGGAGCAACAGAGGGAGGGGGAGCAATGAAGAGAGGGGGAGCAACAGAGGGAGGGGGAGCAATGAAGGGAGGGTGAATGACGGAGGGGTGGTGGTGAGGGATGTTGGAGGGAGGGGGAGCTTACCTGGGCTCGTCGTTGCCCATTTCCGTTCACGCGAGCGGAATCCTCCATGCGTGGGTGCTCTGGGTCCACGTTTGTGGGCGGTGGGCTCGTTTTGGCGTGGGCGGTCGTGGCGTGGGCGGTCGCGTCGTCTTCGTGGGTGGTCGCGTCGTCTTCGTGTCATCGCGTCGTCTTCGTGTCATCGCGTTGTCTTCGTGTCGTCGCTCGTGGGCGTTCGTTGTCGTGCGCGGGCGTTCGTTGTCGTGCATGGGCGTTCGTTGTCGTGTCGTGGACGCTCGTGGGCATTCATTGTCGTGGGTGGGCGTTCGTGGGCGGTGGGGTCGTGTGGGGCGGTGGGCGTCATTCGTGGGTGTGGGGATTTGGTCGTTGTCGTGTCGTGGGCGCTCATCTTCGTGGGTGGGCATTGACGTTGGTGGGCGCTCATGGTTGCGGCGTGACGTGGCACCGTCCTCGGTGTCGTGCTGTTGTTGTCGTGCCCTGTTGTCGTGTCACGTCGTCAAATTGTTGCCACGTCGCAGACAGCGACGTGGCCCTTGGATTTGGTGTGAGCCGGCCATACGGAAAGAGAGGGGGTGGGTGTACTGACCTGATCAGGTTGGACAGTGACGACGGCATGCGTCGTCACTGTCCAGACGACGTGGCACATCTGCCACGTCGTCTTCGCATCCTCGGCACTCGTCAATGGTCGCGGGTGGTCCGTGACGACGTTGTCTGTCGTCGTGTGTCGTCGGCGTCGTTGGCGTCTCGTCGTCGTTGATTTGGGCGGTCGTGGTTTGTCGCGGTGGTGAGCGACGGTGGATGGGCATCGGATGGTGGTGGTGGGGAAGGAAGGAACGACGTGGTGACGTTTCACCCACAGCATGTCACACATATGACGCCACGTGCCCTGGTGCGGTATATAGCTACTTTTAGTTTAGTATATAACAAAGCCTGTATGGCTCAGTTGGCTTTAGCATTGGTGTTATTGACGACGTCGAGGGTTCAATTCTCCTAGATGCAAATTCTTTTTTTACTTAAATATAGTAAGGACACTATAAATACTGTGTTTATATGTATTCTAATGGTATATTGGTCTTCCATGGAATCCATATGGAATGCTCCATGGAATCCAATGTGGATATGCCTGCATTCCATATGGAATTCAGTGGAATCCAGGTGGAATGGCAATGGATTCCATATGGAATTGACCATTCCATGACCATTCCATGATCATTCCACATGGAATCCATGATGTCCATGGAACAACAAATTGGCTGTGGTCTCAGCCAAGATTCATTCCATGGATTCCACATGGAATTGGTGATGGATTCCATGGATTCCACATGGATTCCACATGGATTCCATATGGATTAACCCGGGGAAGGTAAAGACCTCTTTTCACTAGGAGATCCAACTAATCGCTGTGCGACATTCTCGCGACGTTCATGCACCTTCGGAGTGATTTTAATCGTGCTCCAAATGCACGCCGAACGGCCGCAATCTCATGAGAACTGAATGTGTCCGCATAAAGGAATTCAGCTTTCAACGTGCACTTCGGCTCTTCCTCCTGCTAATCCTCGTCGAAGACGACAGCCACACCAACTTCCTCATCGATCTCGCTTTTCCATGTCTGGATTGACCATAGCCTCGTCTTCAGCGTTGTAATTTGTAAATTTCTTCGAAAGATTGACGAGCTGTGAGAGCTGCTCGCTCGGAATGGCTCAATATCCTTCTTTTTGTCAAAACTCTTCGTCCCCTTGTTTTTGAGAGTGTCGAGCGTGGAATCGGCAGCACTCCAAGCGCAGTATGCACAGAGGAAAAAATAAGTTCGTAGACTTCGCGTGTTTCCCCGGTCTGTGGACGATAGGTGACGCTTTCAACGTCTTGCGTCGCCCGAATGACCGATGAGACCATGGGGAACGACAGCATTCTCCTGTATTACGGGACGGGCATTGTTAGCGACGAAACAATGGGAGGACAAATAGTACCCACAAAAAGGGTCGAGAGCTGTCTTAAGGAAGCAGTTAATCAGTACACACCGCCCACGGATTGCTGCACAAAGACCAGGTCAGCGACGAGGACAAACCCTAAAAGGCCATGAATTTACAGCAGCAGCGTGAGGACATCCTCCTCTTGGTAATCCACGCCTACCCGCCTTTTGGCTTCGATCCGGATTCAGCCTCGGCATCAGCGTCTTCGACTCTCCAGCCCGCTTCGATGCGAATAAAGCTACAAACAAATGTTAGATTCGGGAGAAGAGGAGAAAAGGAAGGTACACACGCACGGGTAAATGTAGCCAAGCCATTAAGTGGTTTCGTCACAATTCCGGAGGGTCCCAAGCACTATCTCAGCATTGAAGTAGTCCGCCAGCTTCTAGACAAATTGGGCCTCTGCTGGGATCCTCCGCCTGGATTTTGTCTTCCAGTTGGTCAATAAACCATAGAAACGGTTTCGGAGAGATTCACGGAGGGCATGTGCCACGAAGCCGTTGTTCGTTGCAACAGCCTTGGCGATGGCAGTTCTTGCTTTGATAGTGGTGTTGATCTTTGGTCACCTTGGTCTTCGCTCTGGTCGTCGTTGCATGAGGCAATGTTAACACGGACTGTACACGCGCTCCGCGGCAGAGCCATTCCTCCTAGTATTGGCGTATCCGCAAGAGAAGCATGTTGACTCCGATACGATAAAAACACAATGCAAAGGTAGGCTTGACCCCAACCTGAAGACTGATAAATTAGAGTGCATCGTATATGATGTAGCAGTCAGGTTAACGATCAGCAGTCAAGGATTGGCGCTGCAAAAACTGAAATGGACCCAATAGAATTGGATGGAAAGGGCTTCGAATGTTCGCGTTCCGATGAGTTCACCAATTTCAGGAGGCGCTAAAGAACTTTGAGCAATACGGCTAGAAAGGAGGTTGGCAAAACATACCAGATCGAAGTAACCATGCCAAGGCTAGCGACTCTACGGCTTCGTCACAATTCATGTGTAAGCTCTCGTTTCTGCCCTTGTCGAACCGAAGAATGGAGTATGTTGGCACATTTGTCGGCTTGAAGAAATTTGAAAGTTTTATTCCCTGGCAAAACCACAAGACCAGGGTTCATTGAGGTAACGTTGTGAGGTAGTCTAATATTCTGTAAGATTGAGCGCACCCTTGAAAAAAAGTGGAACACTTGCCTCCGAATCGTCGTGTATAGCGCCTTTGTTCTCGAATGTACAACGAACGTGGAACATTGCTTCTGTCTTGAAAGAAGAAGGAAGGGGAAGAGGAGGAGGACGTGCACACTCGAGTGAAGAGCGTGCCTCGGTATCATTGTCTGCATCGTTGCCATCTGGTGCTGGACGATACGCAGCCATTCAGCCGCAGCCGACGAAAGACCTGCACGGCAGCGCGTTCGGGAAGAAGAACCTTCACCTGTTTTTGGTCTTCCAATTTGGTCAGTAAACCGTTGAAACGATTTCGGAGAAATCCAGGAAGGGCATGTGCCTTAATCGTTGCAACAAGGGCGCAAGCTTGGTCGATACACACTGGAAAAAGCGATGTAGGTCCATGTAAGCATTTTCTGTTCGAATTGCTCGAAAGCACCTGTTAGATTTCGTAAACTTTCGGTATCCATACTGAATGGAAGAAGGACGCACAGTCCAAGAGGTGATGCGACTTCGTCGTGGGACCAATCGGGAGGGCAGTGGATCCACTGTAGATGTTTGCGTCGAGCTCGAGTGCGAAACCTTGAACATATCCAGCGTTGACGTGATCAGACGGCTGTCGGCACATTTTTAGATCATGGCGCCCGATAAGACCACTACTGACAGCGTTGGACCAATCTGATACAGCAATTTAGAAATTGAGATTGGCGTTTACAGTAGTTACGCACCATTCCGCCTCATCCAACCCCTCTGTCGCACAATCCAGGCCATAGTAGTAGTGACTACGGCCTTCACCTTGATAGTGGCCTTGGTCTCTGGCGGCCTTGTTCTTCGTCCTGGTCGTCGTTGTGCATGAGTGGAAGAATGATCATGATCGTCATTAATATTCGGAATAGCTTTGGAAATAAACACAACCAAATTATACATACCTCCCTTCACCTCTCTTCCAACTCCAAAAACGAACTTTACAGGCGCTCCGCGTGGCGGGGCTGTTCCTCCGATCGTCTCATGAAATATGAAGCCCATTCCATTGAACTCTCTCGGGTCTATTGCATTTTTTTTGCAGCGTCATTCCTGACTGGTGATTACCTGCCTGCTACATGATATACGATGCCGTCTAACTTCTAGGTCTTCAGATGAACTTATCGCTATTAGGGTCACTTTATATTATACCTCAACATCTAACCAATTACCCTTGCGTCGTCACTCAATCAGATCCAACCTGCCGGTGCCTGAGATGTCGTGAAACAATACCACGAGAACTAACACGAGGTCTTGTCCAGGCTTTGTCATTTTGCTAATCACTGACGATTGACTGGTGACTGCTAACCAGATGGTTAGTTTTAGCTAGCTTCAATGAGCATGACTATCGGCCGTCGTCGAACATTCACCTCTTGACAATCCTCCTGATTAAGCTTGGCCAGGGATGGCACAAACGTCTTTGCAAAACTGAATCCCTTTAGGTGCCCACACACCTCTTTGTCGCATACGCCATCACGTGCAGCCTCCTCAACGGTAAATCTTCTTTCTTCATCTCTATCCACTTCCTCCGCCACTCGACGCACTTCTTAGCCATGCCAGTCCACCGTACGGCACCCAAAGATACCTTTCGCGTTACCCACGCTGTAAGTTCTCATAGTTTCTGATCTATTGTCCTTTGATTCATGCGAAGTCTTCTCCAGATCACGACGCGCGCCATCTCTTCAGTTCTCTTCGATTCATCAAAGACCGCTGCAGCGACGGTATATGTTCCTACATTAGTTTCCGAGGACGGCAAGAACCGCTTTCCCTGCTTCGAGGTGGTCCTGGGAAGAGACGCCCCCCTCCATCAATGCACTGTCGCAGTTGCCGACAACATGGGAGTTAGACACAAGTACCTTGTTGTGACTCAAACTGGTGAAGGTCTTCCACGCAACCGGGCTTTGCAAGATATCGATTTCGATCATGAATGGCATGGATCTCTTCTCGTCATGAAATACGGGAAGAATTTGCCTTTCGTTGGGCTTGCTGGGCTTGCAGACAGAAATCGAGCCAAGGTTGCTCTTCAGCGGTACGCCAAACCCCTGTTGTGTCATATGGCCGATACATATGTTGGGCCATCACAGATTCCTTGTCGATTCACAGTTCGCACCTGTCACTGCAGAGGTCAAGAATGAGTTACCATCCGAGATCTGGTACTGATCTTTACTAGAAGTTTGTATTTCATTCCGACTCTTTTACAAGCCTACAAACTGACATTTGGCCCCAGCTTCTCTGCATCCCACCAACCAGAAGTTATCATCCGCTTTTTCATGTGTTTAGTGGTTTATGCACCAGTTTACAGCGTTCAAATGCCCGTACTGCATATATAGTTTCAAGTTAATGTTATGAATACGATACGAACATTAAAGTTAGATTTCCCCGGTCACAGCCAATATGAACTAGATATTCCAAGCGCAGTGTGAACAGAGGAATGATTAAGTTCGTGAACTTTGCGTGTTTCCACGGTCTGTGGAAGAGACGACCTCAACATCTTTACGAAACGGGCGTTGTCAGCAACGAAGCGATAGGAGGACAGATACCACTCACAAAAAAGGTCGAGAGCTGCCTCAAGGAGGCAGTCAATCAGTCCACACCGCCCCACAGATTGCTGCACAAAGACCAGGTCAGCAACGAGGACAGAGGGCATCGAATATTATCCCTGAATCAATGGCCATGGAAACGCTGACCTGCAGCTGAGGAAGCTCGTAAGAAGGAGCGTAAGGCCGTGGAACCCCTGCCTGGGCATACAAGATTCGGTGTAGGGGATATTCGTGGTACCTATGCTAGAAATTGACATTTTCCCCCAGGTTATTTGCATCCCACCAACCAGACCTTTTCATTTTCATGTGGTTCGTATTCTATGCACCAATGTAAATTGACAGTAGAATGACAGCCTACAGTGTAGTGGTTCGGCTAATTATGAAGCTTGGGCATGAATGAGCAGTGAGCGCTTGAGCGCCAGTGAGCCGTTGGCGGCTAGCATGTGCACTTGCGAGCGCCGAGCGCTGAGCGCTGAGGCCTCACTAGGCCCAGTGTGCGTTTACACACTATGTCGTGCTTCCTTGCACCGATTCTCCTCGTCGTCGTCGTCGTCCCCTTGCACCCTATTGTGCAGTGCAGTAGGGTGCGGTTTCTTTCTCTTGAATAGTTTGACAGCGTGAAGATGTCAGAGGCGTTACTTACCAGCCTTCTGTATTAATATTGCGGTACGTCGGAAGTGGTAGTCGTCCAACCCCTCAGACACAATGCGATCAGGCAGGTACGTTGACTGGAGTATTCGCATGATATTTATGTACCTGTAAACGAGTCAGTTTTAGATAATGAGGAATGTAGGGTACCTCCAGAATAAACGATGGTCCGTTGATGGCAGCAGACGCCTGTTGCGCTTCGTGATTTGTAAATATTATGTCGATCGCATACACAGAAGGACAGCGATCAGCGTTCGACGACGACTGCCAGTGGTTAGCAGTCAGCAGTCAATCATTAGTGATTGGCGAATGACAAAGCCTTCACCTTGAGGTCTCGACGCCTCGTGCCACTTAAAGTACGCAAGGGTAATTGGTTAGACCTCATGACGGATCATGAAGAGTGTCCTAGAAGACCGGGGCACCGTATATGATGTTACATGTAGCAGCCAGGTTAACTTGAGGTAGACAATCACCAGTCGAGGATTGGTTTTGCAAAAAGTGCAATGGACCAAAGAGAATTGGACGGTACGGGCTTCACCTTCATCGATCATCGACGGTCGGAGAAACAGCCCAGCACCAGTCAAATTCGTACTTGGACTTGGAAGACGGGAGGTTTATATCATTTGGTTGTGTTTATTTCCGGCGACTCCATGATCCCTCATACACGTCATCGCTAGTCTACATGCACTGTTTGCAACGAAGGAGCGAAATCACTTGTTTATTATGATAGGTCTTTTGTAATCTTTGTCTACGATAAATTGCGCATACCACGATCAATGATGGCGTTGCTGGAGTTCAAGGGTAGTGACCAATGGTATCTAACCGGCCACTATTTTCCAAGACAACGCTGCATGCCTTTTGAGTACATCTTCAACTACAAAAGAGGCGAGACTCACTGCTCTGCTTGAGGGTTGAACTGAAAACAGTATCTCCGAGAATCAACTTCAAGATCAGTTGCTCCCCATGAAGGAAGATGTTGGAGCCAATTTGCATTATACGCATTGAATGGGAGGCCAGGTACGGGAGGGCGAGTGGAGGATACGTTGGATATGAGTCGAATACGAGGTTGCGCACCTGGTCCAGCACGCCTAATCGGTGCGAAGCGACGAAAGCGATGTAAAGCATCGAATTTGCGAAGCCATACGCCAAGTCGCTCATCCCTCCATCCCTTCTTACGTATGCGGAATTGAGGAATCCCGGTCCCAATGAGTTCATGGTCCGACTCGTCTGTGCTCATCCCATCCACGCCAAGGCGTTGAAGGATATGAACATGCTCTCCGGCGAGTTCGGGTAACTCAATAGCTGCATTGATGCGCCTCGAGAAAAGCTGCCAGTTGTCCGCATGTGAGCCCATTGGCATCTAGATAAAAGGATAACTCACAGTGCGTTTTCTTTCGTCTCTCCTGGCTTTCGCTTGGAGATCCAAGTAATCGCTGTGCGACATTCTGGCGACGTTCATGGACCTTCGGAGTGACTTTAATCGTGCCCCAAATGCACGCCGAACGGCCGCAACGTCATGAGAACTGAATGTGTCCGCATCAAGGAAGCTTTCGACGAAAACTTCCGTTACAGATTTGTTCCAACTACTCTTCGGGGAAGAGTAGAAATCGGGCCGAAAATCGTCCGCCGTACAGGCCCGGCCGAGAGATGGGTTCCAGTCGCGAATCGTGTTGTCAGAGGGCTGTACTAGCATAAAGTCCGTGTATGAAAGATGGAAGTCTTTCATATTTTCCGGAAGTTGGGAGGGTGGAAAATGCTTGCTGAGAAGCACGTTGGCACAAGTGGCTACCACCTTTATCATAAAACTAAGGCACTTGCCTGTAGAGCTGTGTGTATAAGTCCACAAGTTTTATGAAAGGCCTTTCATAGGTGTGTCCTGTGTCTTTCTTTCTCATAAAGGCTATGTTCTTCTCATAAGATATAGGCAAGGCCACAGAGTGCTTTTCATAATTAAACCTGTGCGCTTTCAATAGGTATTTCATTCACTGGGTTAGGTATATTCATTGCCTTTTTCATAATTAATGGTGTGCACTTTCATTGAATATTTCATTAGGAATTTTGGGCGCTTTCATTGCTTTTTTCATAATTAATCCTGTGTGATTTCAATAAATATTTCATTCACTATGTTAGGTGTATTCAATGCCTCTATCATATCTAATGGTGTGCGCTTTCATTGAATATTTTATTAGGAATATTGGATGCTTTCATTGTACTTTTCATAATTAATGTTGTGCAATTTCAATAAATATCTCATTCCCTAGGTCAGGTGTATTCATTGCCTCTTTCATATTTAATGGTGTGCGCTTTCATTGAATAT